TATGTATATGTATATATATGTATGTATGTATATGTATATATATGTATATATATGTGTATATGTATATATATGTATGTATATGTATGTATATGTATATATATGTATATATGTATGTATATGTATATATATGTATATATATGTGTATATGTATATATATGTGTATATGTATATATATGTAAATATATGTATATGTATATGTATATGTATATATATATGTATATGTATATGTATATGTATATGTATATGTATATGTATAGGTGTATATATATGTATATGTATATATATATATGTATAGGTGTATGTATATGTATATGTATATGTATATATGTGTATATATATGTATATGTATATATGTGTATATATATGTATATGTATATATGTGTATATATATATATATATGTATATGTGTATATATATACGGGTCAATGACATGACATGCATATTTTTGTGTCCAAGTCCACTATTTCCTTTTTGAAATAATTGTATCAATTTGTGACATATATCATTTCATTCTATAAAACCTATCTAGTTTTGATACATTTTCAGTACAATCAAATAATATATATTATTTTATGTTTTGGCATCTCAAACCCTGAAAATGTCAGGTGGTGCACCTGTCCTGGCAGATGACCAGACTAACAAAACTATTAAAAAAGGTATTTAAATGATAATAAATTCAAAATAAAATACTATAGCATGCTTTTATTGTTGAAACGATTCAAATAAACCAAATGTCAGGGTGGCACAGCTGTAAAGATGGGACTTTTATTATGAAATTAAAGTGGAAAACAGTAAACAGGTTATTGCATCATCAAGAGGACCTCAACTGACCTTTATAGTAGAGTGAAAACGTTTTTATATCTCTTTTGAATATTGATAAAAACAGCTACTTTCAACTTATAGGTAGAGTGGTTCACTTTCCATGTCAGGGCGGTACAACCAATGTAAAACTAGAAAAATGATATTTTATCATAAATGTCTTTATTCTATTTAAAATGTATATGTATGAAGTTGTTAGCAAGAACAAAAGCTAATGCTAGTGTCCTTGTAGATGCCTGTTTAATTTGAAATCAGTTGCAAATGTCAGGTGGCGCAACCAGTAAGGCAGGTGGTGCAACTGCAGAGAATGTCACTCTATGATATTATATTTAAAGCTCTAACATTATACAAAAAAAAATTCTAAAGTTTAACAGTGTTAAATTAACTATATTATACACTTTCAAACTATTTTTCATGATATTAATGAATATCTTTTAACTATTAAGGATGCCACTGTCAAGTAAAGCAAAATCAGCATGACGCAGGGAGCAGACAACAAGTCATGTATGGAGTGTGTGCAAAACGCTGCTACAATGAGGTAGAAGCTGCAACACCCCAGGCGGAAACGACGGTGATTTTGCCTATTCCAGTTATGTGCTAAACATGATTACTCTGAAATATTTACTTCTTTTACTTAAAAAGAGTCTGTTAACTAAAAGCATGTTGTTGTATTTGAAAAAACAATGCAAATTGTCTGCATATTTCCTGTGATTAATAATATTGTCAGGTGGCACAACTGATAAATGTCATGGTGGTGCGACCAGGTGAAATATTAATTTAAAGCAATAAATAATAGGTTAAAGTGAATTTTTTTTTGCTTAATATGATGTGAAGAACTATTGTATTGAATGTATTCATTTGTATGTTTGTATTATTATGTTTCTCTGTTTAAATGTAAAATCAAAAGTTAAATATACTAAATATCTGGCCAAGAGTACGCAATTATGATAAATTATTGTATATATATAAAACACAACCACAAAATACGGTGTTAGACACAGTAGACACTCTAAGGGATACTTGTCAAAAATTTCAGTTTGAATAAATATTAAGAAAATATATATTTTTTTATAAATATGTGGTTGCGCCACCTGACATTTTTTAGCCTGTGAAGTTAACAAATACTGTTAACTATTTAAAATACTATGAAAAGTTAGTTCACAACTTAGACTTGTTTCACCACATTTTTCCAGACACAAAATATGCATTACATCCATTTTGAAGATAATTTTTAAAATTACCTTTTTAGAAGCCTTATTTGTCAATGACGCATACAGAAATACAATTTAATGACACGTATTATATCGTGAGCCGTCATCTTGGGAATCCTCATCCCAGGATCTGGAACCACTGCTGCAGGGCTGCAACTAACAAATACCTTTTATCATCTATTAGTCATCTTCTTATTTTTACAAATAAAATGTCCGTAAATAGTGACAAATGCCCATCACGATTTCCCAAAGTCTGAAGTGACATCTTCAAATGTCTTGTGATGTCCGACCATCAGTCCAAAACCTAAAGATAATCATTTAGCTATAACATGAGAGCAGGAATGGACGCTAGTTCTCACTAATGAGGAGCTGGAACCAGAGAATGTTCCGAGAGCAAAGGGAAGAGAGGAGGAAAATGTGTTGATGCTGATGAAAACCCAACATCTTTTGATTTTGCTGCTTCAAAATGAAAGCCTCCCTTGTCATTGTTCACTCTTTTGATTCTGATGTCATTGTTTTGTGTTCTGACAGGATCGGACGGCACGGGCAACAACAGTGAAGAGGGAGGGTCCAAAGCAAGCGCTGCGGGTTCAGGAAGCGACTCGGACAACGACGCTGGTTCTGCAGACGATGCCATAGATGAAGAGGAGGCCAAAGACCTTGCTGCTGAGGAGAACCTAACAGAAGACGAAGAGAAGACCAAACAGCAGGCATCGTCGGACAGCTCCACCAAAGACACCCCCGCCGTTACCCGACCCAAAGGCCGACGCAAGAGCAAGAAGACGTCGGAGCCCGAGCCCGCTGCAGGGGCTGGCACTGGCACTGAATCTACCTCCACGTCCGGGTCTGGCAGCGCCAACACAGAGGAGTCTCAGACCGAGCCCAAGAAATGGAATTTCCGCAGGAACCGCCCCCTGCTGGACTTCACCACGATGGAGGAACTGAACGAGATGGACGACTACGACAGCGAGGACGACAACGACTGGAGGCCCACGGCAGGGAAGAAGAAAGGCAAAGCAGCTGCTCAGAAAGGAGGCACTGAGGAGGAGGACGGGGGCAGTGCTAGTGAGGACGACGACGATAACGACGAAGACGAGGACGACGGCGAGGACGACGACGAGAAGGAGGATGGTGATGACAACAACAACACCACCACCAACAACACCAACAACAGTAGCAGTGACAGTGACAAAGATGTGAAGAAGCCCAAGAAGAAGACTAAGAGCACCAACGCTTTTGATGAAGAGCTGACCAACGACAGCATGTCCCAGGGAAAGGGCAATGAGGTGACAAATTATTATGAATTTTATTGTCAATTTTCAAATGATAACTTATACTATTGCACTGTGTTTATTGTACTCACCTAGCCACACTCCTTGTATGTGTAACACACTTGGCAATAAGATCAACAGTTTCTGAATTACGTAACAAATTACATACAGTAATCAAATCATATTATTTTAAAGAATTCGAATTAACGTCACAAGATATCAGCCAGAGAGCTGGCTGAGACACAATGCAGCCCACCAGATTACTAGCTATTCTCTGGAAGAGCTGCAGCAATTAGTCAATTATCCATTAGTGGAAAAAGTAATCGTCTATTACTATTTAGGTAATTGATTACTCGTGTCATGTCGGGAGGTTTTTGGGATTCCACACCATAGATGGAAACATTTGAGGAAAAGCTGAGGCTCTTTTTTGACTTTGTAAAATGCAACTGCCTTATTCTACTATCCGTAGAATCAGATTCTAGGATTGTCATATTATTGGCCGAAATGTATTGGAAAAGTATTATTATTATTATTATTATTATTATTAAGTGTATTGAAAGACGTAATCATTTTCATGCATGTTTTTGGCTTCAATCCATATTTTTTGGTGTTGAGCTTTTCAAAAATAAAAATGTTAACAGAGAAAGTGGATTTAATTTAATGGTACCAACCAATTCAATTTAATCTGATGAATCACTTTACTCAAATTGAGGATTTTGTTGGAAGATTCTGATGTTGATTTTGAGGGTTATGTCAACAGCTTTATTAAAAAAACCTCCATGGAGGCTTTGAATGCAGAAACAGACTTTCGGTACATCCCTAAGAATTTAGTTGGAAAGTGTTTGTAGTTGCTAAATTATATTTGCTGCATGTTGTAGTCGTTAGGTAAGATGGTGTGATTTAAGTCATAATTGTGTTATTTACACAAGGTTGTGGACAAGTTCTTGTGAACCAGACTTTGTGCTCGGAGTCAAAAGGCTGAGTGAGGGAGCTGCTACACTACTGAGCAACGGAGCATTGACGCAAATGCAGTCCTCCGCCTTATGCTGGCTATGTGACCACTGCAGGAGTTTGGTATTTGGCCTGCACATTGGCTACTCTCTTTGTATGGTACTCCATAATACCAAACAACAATATGAGTCACTAAGTCACCATATAATCCAATGAGAGCTTTAGATGGTATCAGCGTGATTCCAGGAGAAGTTCTGCATCTGTTGTAATCGACTTAGCACAGTGTCCATGAATCCCATTGTATATGGGATTTACTAATGGTCAGTTGCTGGATCTATGGTCAGATCAGAGGAGGAGGGGATGTGGATAAGTGGCTTTACTGTGTCTCTGTTTCCTGATCCCCCAGGATGCCTTGCTGGACCGGTCCCAAACCTGGAGCACGCAGCACATCCTCATCTGCTGCGTCTGTCTGGGAGACAACAGCGAGGATGCAGATGAGATCATCCAGTGTGACAACTGTGGGGTGACTGTGCACGAAGGTAGGCTGCTGACTTTCGACCAATATAGTGTCGAGGTATCTGTCCCGATCAATGACTCTGTGGGTCATCTCTTTTGGATTGGTGCTGTTCCAGACATCCATAGTGAAAGCTGACCATGCGAGGTGGATCAATGTGACACCATTCATTTTCAATTACTTCATTTATTACTTATTTCCCCTTGTTGTACTAATCGAAAAGCACAAGTCAAAGCAAGGCAGACTGAGAAGAGCTGCTGCTTTTTAATTTGGACAGAAAATGTTTATAGTACATATTCCCTATTGTAGCTCCATGACTTCAGATCCAGCTCATAAATGCCCTATTTCACAGTGAAGCATGTAAAACACTAGTGAGAGTGAGCCTTGCCATAGAAAACAACATGGACATGTTAGTGTTTGTTGCCCGTTACACTGCACCTTGCATCACAATCATCCATATTGTCCAGGGCAAACGTACGCACTTCTATTGACTCCCCATTCATTGGTTTTCCCGCTGACATAGTTTAAATAATAAAAGCTAATATGATTTTATCAAAAAGCTCATGTCACACAAAGTGGCAGGTGCTTTACAAATGTAATGATAAAGGAACATGGTAATATTGAGCACTGAATACAGACTTTCATTGGGTTAAATATCGGCCCATGTTCACATGTCTGTAATCTTATCTCACATAAAACGCACAACATCACACTAACTCACAGCTTGCACTACACTGACACAGTCCACCATCACTGTGATCGGCTGAGCTGTATCAGGGTTCAGCCGTGAAGCAGCGAACACCTTTGAGGTGCGAGCACGACTTGTTGGATTATCTCAGACAGTCTAACTCACACACACACACACACACACACACACACACACACACACGGGCGCTGGTGGGAGGGAACCAGCCTAATCACCAATTCTCCATAGGCAGACAGGAGATATTAGGAGCAGGTCTTAACTTTATCTTGTTCTTTCGGTTGCTTGATATTTTCTTCCTCAGACACGTTTAATCTCCCTGAAAAAGACAGACGGGAGACTAAGTGGTTTGCAGTAGAGGTTTGAGAGCGAGGAGGCCGTGGCAGCACTCCTATCTCCCTATCCAAGGACATGAATGGTCTGGGGCAGTAAAATATGGAACTTTATTCTGGCAATCCGTTTTCTGAGTTCATGTGTATGCGTGCCCGCAGTGGATAGTGGATCTATTGTGCTATTGGAGGTTTAACTCAGTAGCTCAGCTGTTTTTTGGCAAGACATATGATCTTATCCTTGAGATTTATAGCACAGAATCTAGCAACTTGGCGATTTGCCGATTACTCTGGACATTTTATGAGAGAAGATGTTCGTCCATGACGCTCAGTATCTGTAGAGCTCTTTCTTTTATCTCTAACGTTGGATGGCTGTGTGTCAAGCTTTCACAAAGTTTCCCCTCTCGATCTGTTCCGTGCAAAACCGTCAAAAACAGACTATATTAGGTGCATATATTTAGCGTTACGTTATCAGGTTCCCTATTAGCATTGGGTTTAAATCGGAAATATTGCCAAATAGGCACTTTTTCTTTTCGCTTTGACACCAAACTTTCCGCCATGGTCTTGTCGGTCAACTGTCCTTCCCCTCGTGATGTGATGAGTGAAGTCTGTCTCCTGCTACTCTGTGCTGTACGGAGCAGATACTTTCACTACTAATTGTAGCACGCTTAGTATTAAATATCAACTTTTTGATGAACGTGCGAGCTGATACGCGAAAATGAACTAAATTGGTAATTTCTATAAATAAATGTAAAGTGATGGTGGGCAAAGTAATTTAACCAGTGTATGCCATAACACTGGTAACACCGAATACCGTGGTAAGCCTACTACTGGTGGAGTCACCCAAGGAAAAGTTTCTGATGGGGGTAAGAGTACTTGAGAAAGAATAGCTTACAAGTGGTGGAAAAGAGAGAACAAGACAAAGTATATTTAAGGAGGGTTCTGCTTACTCACCATCACTATAAACTGTGTAGTACTGATAATGCTCCCTTAGGGTAACTAATGACTTACTCATGAACGTCAGTGGTGGTATGGGCTCTGTTTTACTAAAAGTATGTGAAAATAAGGCTGCACAATTAATACAAATTGTATCAAAACCACAATATGGCCTAGGAGGCGCAAAATATGGCCAACACATATTATTCTTTGTTTGGTTCAGATCCCTGCACCAATCATGTTTTTTCAATGAAAATGAGAATATGATGTAAAAATGTTCATTCTCTCCAATATCGCAAATCATATCTTTCAAAATCGCGTAGTCCTAGAAAATGGACAAGTCTGTGTTTTTAATGGAAATCATCTTTATTGATGGTTAAAATGTAGTTCGGATTACTTCAAGGGTAACTTTTGGGCCCTATTTTATTTTTGCTGTGTACGCCTCCACTGGGCAATCGTAATGTATTCGCTGCAATCAGATAGTCTGTAGAGTAAATAAGTAATGGATCGTTTTGTTGAAATAACCCTGACCTACATGTAAGTATCAGCTTTATTTTGTAGCTGGATAAGTGAACATTGTGATGCTGGAGATGAAGGTGTGCTCATAACAGGTTGGCTCATTTCTAGAGGTCACAACGTACTTTGTTGAAGGTTAAGACGAGGAAGGACTTTCAGGCAGAGATGAGAGACGAGCTGTCTGTATCCTGAGCTCATACGAGCCGGTCTTGCTGCTCGACTTCCCTGCTTCTCTTTGTTCTTGCGCTGCACCACTGTCCAGACACCATCACTGCCTCTCAGACGAGAAGAGAGGCTGACATGAAAGGTAGGCGCACACGACCCGGGTGAGAGATCAAAAGCTGGAATGAGCCGAAGTCCACAAAGCGAGCGTCTACACAGAGCACATAGAGGAGTCCTGTTCCTGCCAGCCTGCCTTTTGATTCTCACTCTTTCACAGTCATACAGGTGGACATCATTACCATACCAGATGATCTCCCTTTGCTTTTACTGTAAATGCCAAAGCAGGCCCTTTCGTCACATATTCATGTGTTAAGCTTCTGGTTTTCTTTTTATTCGGTAGTCTGAACATTCAGAACCCTTATTTTGTCATTTAAGGGCAAGACATTTCTCTTAACTATTACTGTAGAAGAGGTAAATGTTAATAATACATCACCATCAAGCTGTCTTCCTTTTCTGATCCAGTGAAAGTGATGTTGACTTTTATACTCATATGGAAGTTCAATGTACTGTAAATATAGTTATTGCCACAAATGTCACCTTATTTGTTTAGTTTAATACTGAGAAAAAGTAGGTTGGATGTCCTATATTTTTGTCATTGTCAACAAGTCCCATGGAAAAACGCAAAGCAACAACGTGATGGTCCGTCTCTTATTACTCTCTGACTTCCCTAACCTGAGTCTGTGGCACTGTACTGCCTCTTAAAAACCTCTAACAGATAGCTTCTTTTAGCACAGAGGAATGACGTTTATCAGGCGTTGGATACACAGACAATACTTTTCTGCAAAAATATAGAATATCCTTAGCCGTATGGGGATGCTATAAATGACACTAACTACACAAATTATTTTGAATATACTTGAATTGTCTCCTTGGCGCTGAGGGATGAAATACTCCAACTTAACTGAATATGATTTTGAGCTGATATATTTTTATGAGGGTTGTTGACGATTTGAAAAAAAAAGTAAAACATGTTACCATTTACATGGAAACAAATTTATAACAAATATAATTTTTCTTTTGGAATATTTTACTATGACTACGGTTGGTGAAAATAAGAAATTGACAAAATATATCTTGCCAAAATAATTAGTACATGCTTAAATATCCCAGAGGCTGCTTTTTACATAGTGCTCATGACATTTTTTACACGGCTCGATTCATAGAAATTAACTGTTTCCCATGGTCATTTAGTACAAAAGGAAATTATTGCCATAGTGACAACCATGTCAGTGGGGCCATGACGTTTTTTTGCAGCTCATCAGAAAGAGAGTGGAAGCAGCTCCGGAGACGGATGGCTGGCTAGTTAACTAGGCAGTTAACTAGGTAACTAGCCTGTCCTTCCCTTGAGAGACGGGAAGTGAGGTGGAGGAGTGGCCACAAGCCCACTGTTTAGCTCATTGTTTTTTAACTAGTGTAGCATGACGAAATTAGCAAGCTGGCTAACTAGCCAGCTGTCGACTAGTTGGCTAGCTAGCTTGTTCTTTGCACAATACTTGCTACACTGGTTACAGAAAATGAGCCCAAAAAAGTTGTCACTTATCAGGTGATGGCAATGTGCTTTCCCACTCTGTGACAAGAGTGTGTGGAAGTATTCATTTGTTACATTTTAGTCATGAGCTTAAGAAACAGCTTTAACAAGCGCATTTTTCTTTAATACCGCATTAACCTCTTTTACTCCACCTCTCTTCGCCGTAGACCCATTTTTGGATAATAGGGATATTTCAGGGGAGATAGCACGCCAGCAGTATTTGCCACATAGAAGTGGTGCACATCATCTGAAAGCATGAAATCATTGCATTTTTCTGCGATTGGATGGCGAAGACTTCTGCTCTGGAACCTGCTCAGAAACCCTTTTATTGTCAATATAACTATACATCCTCTGACTGCCCTAGGTCTCCAGGTTATGGTTTGTCATCTAACATAACTACAATTGGGCTCATTGGATCAGCTTTCCAGTCATACCCAATTAATGCCAAGACCACAGTATGCAGAAAACTTTTTTAAGAATAGGTTAAAACAACACATTTATAGTGCTATGCTTGGTTTTTGCCCCGAACTGCATTGGATTAGAATATAAAGGTCATATCTGTAATGGGAAGACCTATTGCCCATAGAACCCATTTTCATTCCCATATCTTGAGGTGAGAGGTCAAGGGACCCTTGTGAATTTGTCCATGCCAGTTTTTCCCTTGGAACTTTGGAGCATTATTTAGCACCTTCCCGACAAGGTAGCATGGCATGGTTGGTACCAATGAATTCCTTCTCGGTTCATATGCTAACAGTACCTTCCCTCTAGCTCTAACAATGAGCCTGCTACAA